CACTGAGGACCTATCCATGTCATCATTTACCCAGAATGCTTTGTGTGTAAATAAAATTGCCCCGTCCGTGTAACATATTTTTTAACTTTTAGTTTAAAAATGATAAAAACTAAACATCCTACAGTATTTTTACAGTCTTTATTTTACAGTTAAAATATATGTTTATTAAATAAAGTCTAATGTTACAACTAATCAGGGATCCCTTTAACTACAAGCTTTAGATCTCAGTTTGAAATGTACACCAAAGAAAATCTGCATCATGACTTTTATACTGCGGTCTGACCAAGCGTGATATGAGTGGGGTCTACCTGGTTTATATGTCTACGGTGGACGGCAGCTCTTTACTCACTCTTATGAACGTAAGAGTGGAAAAAAAAGAGAGCTTTTTAATTTTAATCCAGCGGGGAGAAGAACAGAGGTGTTCTTCTTTGCCTCCTGTAAGTAGTTCCAGCTTCTTTTTAAAAGACAAAACAACGTGGACACGCTAATTACAGTGCGGTGCGAAAGTGAAAGTAAAAACATGGCGCTCCCGTTCTCAAAGTGAATCTTAACCGACTGCTCTGTTCTCTCCCCTTAATAGTCAGAGACAGAGGGTAGAAAAGCTAAACTAGACAGTTAAAACACATTAAAAGTTCATAACTCACTGTTGTTGGCACTTTGTCCGACAACATTACCTGCTGCTCTCTCCCAGGGAGGGGGCGGACACATGAACGTGTCGGCCGATACAAAAACCGCAAATATCGGCCGGCCGATGTATCGGTCGACCCCTACTAAGGACACGTAGAACACACGGACCACAGAACACACGGACCACAGAACACACGGACCACAGAACACACGGACCACAGAACACACGGACCATAGAACACACGGACCATAGAACACACGGACCACAGAACACACGGACCATAGAACACAGGTAGAAGTCAGAGCACAGCAGCAATGGTGCCGATGGTTTCACAGGAACGTGGTTTCTCTCTGTTCTTTAGATGCACATCCCGGGTCACTCAGGCTACCAAGGCAATGAGGCGGCAGACCGGCTGTCCAGGGAAGGAGCTGGCAGGCCTCTCGACAACGAGGAGGGTTTATAAATTTCTGCTCTAGAAATCTCACGTTCTTTGTTTCCCCAGCTGCTGTTGCAGCACTTTGTTTGTGGTTCTTTGTTTTATCTGAATAAAGTTTAATTTATCAAATTCAGCCACTTTCTTCTTCTTCGTGGTTTTATTTCTGGAGAACAGAAAGAAATTATTCAGAGAGAGAGCCTGTGGGAGGACCGGATCAGTGAGGAGCTGGGTTTTTGGTTCTCCTGTAATTCTTCCTGTAATCCAGCAGGAGGCGCTGCAGGTCGGTTCTGAAGCCCAAACAAAGGCTCAGCTGGATTCAGATGGATGTGAGGTTCTGACTCAGTCCGAGTCATTCAAACATCCTGTTAGTGTCAGTAAATGTTCAGGTCAGAGCCCTGATCCATAACCCCTCTGTGGAGAGACCCTGAACCAGGAGGAGATCTGTAAAACTGGGTCTTTGAAGCAGAACTCTCTCAGGCCCCGCCCTGAATTATCTAACATCTGATTGGATAGTTTCAGGCTCATTTTGATCTGATTTTAGTGCGCTGCTGCAGGTCTGACCGGACCTCAGACATAAACTTCACAGTTTAAATTCCTGTTTAGACTCCCAAACATCACATCAACAGTTCCGGCAGAAACAACTTTCAAATACGAAATTCAGATTAAAAGTTTAGATAAACTTCAGACGTGACGCCACAATAACAGTTCTCAGCTGATCATTGAGGAGTTGGAAGACAAACATTTGGTAATTTTTAACCAAGGAAAAACATTTTCCATATTTGTCCCAAAAAGACCATCATAAGGTCAAAATTGTTAACATGTAAGGTCTACTGTATATCTCACGCCCTGCTGGCTGACCAGATGATAGCTGGGCACAGAACCAGTTCTTGGAAGCAATGCAAGAAGAACCACAAAACCTCTTCTGCAAACACAACTTTGGCACATTTTGTAAAGAAGAAACCAGGATTTACTCCCTGCAGGTTCAGAAAAACCCTCCCTCTAGACCTAGACAGGAGAAAGACTTTTTTTTTACCCTCTGCGGGACCAGAAAGAGGGGTTCATCTGGACCTGTACACACCCCCAGTTTTTTTTTAATCTACAGGGTGAAGCAGGGTGAACCTCTGTGAATGTGATGTTTAGAATTCAGCCTGCCTCTCTGGATCCCAGCCTGCTGCAGACCTGAGCTGCAGACCTGAGCTGCATACTAACATCCAGCAGGAAGCTCCCAGAACCATGACACGGTTCTGATGAGAAGACAGCGCGGAACTGCGTGTACGATGTGTTCCTTTAGGTTCATCCATGTTCCTGCAGCTACAGGAGCACACAGATTAATGTGACTTTAGTCCATCTTCATGTTTTATAAACAGCTGCCTTCAGACAGAGAAACTAACGATTGATGACTCATCACATTTTTAACAGGGGGCTAGGAGGTGGGGGGAGATCACTTTAAAACTGAGATGAGAACTTAAATCACCTTCCTCGTCAGAAACACAAGGTGACATTTTCATCATCAATTCCTGTTCATTCTGTACTGAAGACACCTGTCTTCTGATCTCCAATTGGTCTCTGATTGGTTATGGTCTCCAATTGGTCTCTGATTGATTATTGGTCTCTAAATGGTCTCTGATTGGATATTGGTCTCTAAATGGTCTCTGATTGGTTATGGTCTCCAATTGGTCTCTGATTGGTTATGGTCTCCAATTGGTCTCTGATTGATTATTGGTCTCTAAATGGTCTCTGATTGGACATTGGTCTCTAAATGGCCTCTGATTGTTATGGTCTCCTATTGGGCTCTGATTGATTATTGGCCTATAAAGGGTCTCTGATTGGTTATTGGTCTCTAAATAGTCTAGGATTGGTTATTGGTCTCTAAAGGGTCTCTGATTGGTTATTGGTCTCCAATTGGTCTCTGATTGCTTATTGGTCTCTAAAGGGTCTCTGATTGCTTATGGTCTCTAAATAGTCTCCGATTGCTTATTTGTCTCTAAATAGTCTCTGATTGGTTAATGTCTCCAACTGGTCTCTGGTTATTGGTCTCTAAAGGGTCTCTGATTGCTTATGGTCTCTAAATAGTCTCTGATTGGTTTTGGTCTCTAAATAGTCTCTGATTGGTTATTGGTCTCTAAAGGGTCTCTGAGTGGTTATTGGTCTCTAAATAGTCTCTGATTGGTTATTGGTCTCCAAAGGGTCTCTGATTGTTATTGGTCTCTAAATGGTCTGTGATTGGTTATGGTCTCTAAAGGATCTCTGGTTATTGGTCTCTAAAGGGTCTAGTCTCTGGTTGGTTATTGGTCTCTAAATAGTCTCTGATTGGTTATTGGTCTCCAAAGGGTCTCTGATTGTTATTGGTCTCTAAATAGTCTGTGATTGGTTATGGTCTCTAAAGGCTCTCTGGTTATTGGTCTCTAAATAGTCTCTGACTGGTTATTGGTCTCTAAAGGATCTCTGGTTATTGGTCTCTAAAGGGTCTAGTCTCTGGTTGGTTATTGGTCTCTAAATAGTCTCTGATTGGTTATTGATTTCTTAATGGTCTCTGATTGGTTATTGATCTCTAAATGGTCTCTAATTGGTTATTGGTGTCTAAATGGTCTCTAATTGGTCTCTGGTTGGTTATGGTCTCTTATTGGTCTCCGGTTGTGTGTTTTGTTGATTTGATGTGTCTTTGTCACTCCTCTATATGTTTGCTGTCTTAGGGTGTATTCACGCTAGCCTTGTTTACTCCACTTTAATCAAACTCTTGTCAGTTTGACTAGAAAGGTTTGAATGTGTAATCTAACTCTGATGCTGACTAAAAAAGGGGACTCTGGTCCACCTGAAAACCTAGGTCACGGTTCAGTTGAAGTGAACTCTGGTGAAAAGGTTGTTCATGTACATAAATATTGCAATTTTGTTACCCAATCTAACCGAATTTACTGAACTATCAGGTGTGAATACGGACTTAATAATTTCTGTTAACACGTTTGAGCTTTTTGACTCTACTCCAGAGGTTTGTTCTTGTTAAAGGGAATTTTTTCTTTCTGCTGTCACCAATGTGCTGCTCAGGATAGGAGACTGTGATGAAGTGATTCAACACAATCTGTTGGCTTCCTCAGTTTATTTTTGGGGGTTTGTACAGTACCCTGAGACAACATTTTTGTGACTTGGTGCTACATAAACTGAATTCATTAGGCTCAGTTGGTCCTCGATTGGTCTCTGGTCTCCAGTTGGTCTCCGATTGTTTATTTATGTTTGATTAGTTGTTTGCCTCTTCATTTTTTATGACAAAGAAAATGTTCAAATACAAAAAATGTGAGTTTTCTTAAGAGATGTCAAAAAAATCTGATCAATTGAAAAACTAAGCTCAACTTATAAAATGTGAAACAAAACTCAGGGACGATGACAGAACACTTTCTTTTTTTCATTAAAAAAGTCCATCTGAAAGTGCAAGCTGTAATAGTTTCTCACATCTACATTCTATAACTATAGCTTCAGCTTCCAGGAAGTAGTCTGAGCCTGGAATAAAAAAAACTGCAATGTTTTCAATCTTAGTTCAACAAAAAACAAAAACCATTTGTTCTCCAGTCAGAGGATGTGGAGTTAGTTCTTCAGACCTAAGCTCTAACCATACCACGCGCGCACACACACAGACACACACACACACTCAGACACACACGGTCTCTCACCCATAGACCACATGAGCTTAGAGCTCGCTCAGTGTGTGTGTGTCTGTGGTGTGTGACTGCGCCTCCCGTTGCGTCTCTGTTGTGCACGTGTCGGTGTCTACGTGCACGTTACAGTCTCTGTCGTCTCGAGGACATGGACGCAGACACGGCCACGTGCACGTCCTCAGGAAGAAGACTGAAGAAAAGATGGAACAGACACAGGTAAAACCGACGCCTTCTTCATCCTTTGCTGCTGCAGTGTCTTCATCATCCCATTCCTCTTCTCCTCCTCCTCCTCCTCCTCCTCCACCTCCTCTCTGTCAGTGTAGCCATGGCCAGTCATCACAAAGACGGAGCGATGAGGAGACCTTGAAAAGAGGAGGCTGCAGATTTTAAGAGCACAGACAAGAGGAGGCTTCATCTTCTAAATTTTGTATGTTTCCTCTTTGTGTCACATTCTGCTTTTCATACAGAACCTCCTCATCACCTCCTCCACTCCTCCTCATCACCTCCTCCTCCATCACCTCATCGCTTTTTCTTCCATCACTTTTTCCATCACCTCCTCCACATCACCTCCTCATCACTTTCTCCTCCATCACTTTATCCATCAACTCCTCCATCTCCTCCTCCACCACACCTCCTCATCGCCTCCTCCTCCATCACCTCCTCATCGCTTTTTCTTCCATCACTTTTTCCATCTCCTCCTCCACATCACATCCTCATCAATTTCTCCTCCATCTCTTTCTACATCTCCTCCACATTGACTCCTCCATAGCCCCTCATCACCTACTCCTCCATCACCTCCTCATTACTTTGTCCTCCATCACATTCTCCATCACCTCCTCCACATTGCCTCCTCAACATCACCTCCTCATTACTTTGTCCTCCATCATTTTCTCCATCACCTCCTCAAGACCTCTTCTTCCATCAATTTCTCCATCACCTTCTCCATCATCACCTCCTCCTCGAACACTTCCTCCAGCACCTCCTGGACATCACCTCCTCATCTCCTCCTCATCAGTGTCCAGGCAGCTGTTTTAGGTCAAAGTTCAGTTCTGGTCAGCTACAGTTGATTCACTTTGTTCATATTTGCTGTTTGTTCTTTTCAAAACTTTAAACTGTTGCATCAATGATACTTTGTGTTGTTTTATTTATATGATTTTATATTGATTTGTTGTTTTGTTTGTCTATTTATTTATTTATTTATTTATTTATTTAGTTTAACTTGTTTGTTGTTTATACATCAAATATTGTGTGTGTGAATATTTTTAAATTAATGTTTGACCCTTGAGGTTTCTGTTGGGATGAATAAAGTGTCCATCCATCCATCCATCCATCCATCCATCCATCCATCCATCCATCCATCCATCCATCCATCCATCCATCCACCATCCATCCACCATCCATCCATC